AAGTAAAATATAAATTTTTATTCGAATTCGAATTTATAATTCGAATAAGGTACCCATATAACTACGGCCAAAAAAATAAAAGATAAATTTTAATTCGAATAAGGCACCCATATAACTGCGGCCAAAAAAGTAAAAGATAAATTTTAATTCGAATAAGGCACCCATATAACTACGGCCAAAAAAGTGAAAGATAAACTTTTATTTGAATTCGAATTTATAATTCGAATAAGGCACCCATATAACTACGGCCAAAAATGTAAAAGATAAATTTTAATTCGAATTCGAATTTATAATTCGAATAAGGCACCCATATAACTACGGCCAAAAAAGTAAAATATAAATTTTTATTCGAATTGGAATTCATAATTCGAATTCGAATTTATAATTCGAATAAGGCACCCATATAACTACGGCCAAAAAAGTAAAAGATAAACTTTTATTCGAATTCGAATTTATAATTCGAATAAGGCACCCATATAACTACGGCCAAAAGAGTCAAAGATAAATGTTTACTCGAATTCGAATGTATAATTCGAATAAGGCACCCATATAACTACGGCCAATAAAGTAAAAGATAAATTTTAATTCGAATTCGAATTTATAATTCGAATAAGGCACCCATATAGCTACGGCCAAAAAAGTAAAAGATAAATTTTAATTCGAATTCGAATTTATAATTCGAATAAGGCACCCATATAACTACGGCCAAAAAAGTAAAAGATAAATTTTTATTCGAACTCGGATTTATCATTGAACTCAAGCACCCATATAACTACGGAAAAAAAGAGCGATACATTAGTTCTTTACGTGCTCAGAGTGAAAGTTTCCGAAAAAAAAAAACGGCACATTACTTAGAATTTTCGAGGAAGAAAAAACACATATAGAACACATATCTAGGAATAGTCGGATTTACAATATATGCATGATCCTGCTGAAGTGTATGCGATACAAGAGACACAGCTAATACCAGCCAAGGCCAAATTATAAGCTGTTGCACAGATATAGGAGGTGGATAGATATACAAGACATAAGCAGTACCATACTATGGGATATATAATTCCAACCTGAATTTAATCAGAAAAAAGAGCACTTGATTTCAAATTGTAATAAGGGACTAAGGGGAGGTCAAGAAAAGTGAGCTCCAAACCGCGTAAATTTCAAATTACGAGCTCACCCAAGAAACGAACTGTGATGCCAGAGGCATCGTCTGAGATGCCAGAGGCATCATCTGAGATGCTCGCGGCATCATCTGGGATGCTAGAGGTATCATCTGGGATGCTAGCGGCATCACCTGCGATCCTGTAGGCATCACCTGGGATGCTAGTAGCATCATCAGGGATGCTGGACGCATCACCTGGGATGCTAGAC